CGAGAATTCATTCTAGACATATTCGATAGAAAACAAAAAGCTGTACAACAAGTATTGATTTTCCACATGAACTACTTATTTTATGCTTATTATAAAATTTGCAGTCAAGTATTTGATATAGACCGATACAAAACTTCAGACTCTATATTTCTGTATTTGTTTCAAAATTTGTTCTACTATAATTCAGGAGAAAGAAACTTCTAACTGAGAGACAGTAGTGTTTTCAAGAAAATTGAATTTTTCAAAACGAAAATTTCAGTCTAAAAAATTTATTTTCCCACTGTTTACTATAGAACTCAATTGTAAAAATTCTAAGCTTTCACAATCTTAAAGATCTATCAACAAAGTGATTTTTTTCTCAATATTTACATTCTTTAACTCAAAAACGTTTTTAATTAATTTGTTTTCCGAAATTTTCAAATTCACATGATGAGATGCAATATTTTTATGAAGAATCTAATTTTGATATTTTAGACTTCTAGAAAACTGTTCCAAAGAAAAAAAAACAATCTGTCATCAATGATATTGACAGTTTTCAACCGAATAAGCTTATAACAAACTCTCACAGCTTCTTATAAACACCTCAAAAACAAAAGTAATCCGTTTATTCTATGGCAATCGTTACATACAATATAAATTTGAGATCCAGTCATTACTATTCAGATATATTAACTGAAGAAACTCAGTATGCATTGTATTTTTTTTTATTAGAAATATGAATATAAAACTTACCATTAAGATGACTAGTTATTGGATTACTTGAATGATCCAGTGTATTTCCTAGAAAACGTTTTTCAACAATCGTTTCAAATCCAACAGTTTTCTCAATAGCAAATCGTAATAATTTAACATCAATTTCATTTTTACGTTTAAGCATTATATTTCCTAATTCACGTCTAAAATTAAAAAAACAGATTTTAACTATATTTTAAAATACAAAAAAAAGAATAAATAAATAAAATTAACCTTGTTATTTTACAAAATTCAACTGTTAAACGTTCAGCCATTTCCCAATGAACAGGAAATATTCGTGAATACTTTTCATCGTATTCAACCAGTGCACGTTTTAACCAAGCATATCGACGATCAATTTTATCTAACCATGCTAACTAAAAAGAGCAGAAATGAAATAATAATGTTAATCAAATTATTTTATTTTTTTTTTTTTATAAATACCTCTTGAGATTCTTGATATAATATTGTATATTCAGATAGATGTGTTTTTAAAAACCAATTTATTACTTCTAATCTATAAAGAACAAAACAAAAAAAAACACTGAATGATAACAATCAAATATTTAAATAACAAACCTTAATTTAGGATCAATAACATCAATTATTTTACATACATCTAAAAAATGTTGATTTGGAGTAAAATTCTATATAACAAAAATAAAAGATTTCATTCACTGAAAACAAAATGTTTTGAATAACTAACTTTTGCATTTGGACCATTAAATGCATCTTCACACTCTTTTCGAACTTGTACAGTTATTTGAGCAGTTAATTCTTTAACACTAAGTAAAAAATAATCAAATTTTATTTGTATAAAGAAATTTATGGAGTGAAAGTATTTTTGATTATCAATTTTTTTCCAGCTTTCATTTCGCATTATTACTTGTCATTTAAGTGCGGATACTGTTTAAAGCTAACGAAAACTTTAGTCTGACACTTTTTGATGTGTTCATCCTCGCTTTGTGGCTTTTTCCACTGTCACTCAGATTAATTAATGTCTGCACCAGAACTAAAGAGGGATGGATGTAAGCTCAACAACTCGAAAATGGCAGTAGTTGATGACTTACGTATTTCAGAAATCTAAAGAAGAGAAATTCGAACATCTTTTTGTCTGATACTATATGAGATAAATATATTTAAAAATACATCATCTTCTAAAAGCATACAAAAAAATGCATGAAAACAGCGCTTTGTTTCAAGAAAATTTCGATGAAAGTCAGCAAATTTGCTATAAATCAAAAGAATTGATGTATTTTGGTTTAATAGATATGTAATTTCGTTTTTTCAACATTGAGATGTGAGAAGATAATCTCCTAAACCATTCCTTTTAACTCTTTGGGGACGGAAAGCACATATACACATGTACTTCGATTCTAATACAATCAGTATGTGACTTAAGTAAATCTCTCATGATACTATATTGGAAGATATGACAGTATAGATCATACATTTATCATTTCCGATGGGTGTGGCTGTAGGTGTGCCTGTGGAGTGCGGATGTGGCTGTAGGTGTGCCTGTGGAATGCGGGTGTGGCTGTAGGTGTGCGTGTGGAGTACGGGTGTTCTTCTGGCAATCACATCCCCAGCTACAACACAGTCACAATACCTTCACATTCAAACCCAAGCCCAACCCACTACCACACCCATACCCTATATTCACAAATAAACGCATTGTTCAGTACTTCAAAAAATTTCTTCTTTTGCTTCAGTTATTCCATCCTCAAAGGGCTAAACTATAAATTTGAAGTTCTTCTACCAGTAGAAGATGTCTATATCAAATAAACATCGAAGCAGAATACTATTTTCATGTGTTTTAGTGAATTTTTTCCGCCGATGATGGATTTTCAAATCATGTTATCTCATTTAGGATGAGACAAAAAGATATCCATAGATCTCCTTCTTCAATTGCTGAAAACCACAAATCACTAACTATTGCCATTTTCATGTTATTAAGGTCACACCGACCCCTCATTAATTCTGGCATAGATATTACTTAAATTTATCGTTGGCCTGAATAATAATCAAAGTGTAATGTACAAAACAAGTAATATTTATTACGAGATTAATCTAAGAAGCAATATGTATAGTACTTCTCCAAATAAGTGACACCACGCCACCCACACCCTTTTATGTTCTCTGTCACTTAGACTAGCTAATGTATAAGATTTCATCGATCTGGAGCAGCGCCATAGTTTTTAATGAGTATGGAGTTCTTCTATAGATATGCGCACTCCATTCACTAATTGCTTTCATCATCGATTATATTTGTTCGGTCCATAAAAAAAACAAAATGCTGCATGTAGATGACGAATCGTGTAGTTTGTCTAGAAGCACTCAAGAAGCGATAATGACAAATTACTAGTCGAAAAAAAAGTAATAATCAACTGGCTTTTTTTCTGGTGATCAAAAGTTATTTTTTCTCAATTTATTTACTTTGTAGATAATTCTTGTATTTGTGGAATGTTTATATATGGTTGAAAATGTTCTAATACACTTATAACCGGATGAAGTAAATTAGCTATATCACCATACGATTTCTTTTTTATAGCAGCCCTAGAAAAAAAAATTCAAAAGAATAAATTTTATATTCTAGAAAACAAAGAAAAATGCTTGTTTTTATTTACTCAATTTTATCAATTCCTTCAATTAACATTTGTAAATGATTAAGTGTTGTTATCGAAGTCGTAAGATTCTTTTTTGCTACATCAAGTTGTTTTATATCTCGTGTTATTTCTTTGACCTAAGAATTTGAAAAAGTTTGCTTTGGAAAGAAAAAACTAAATTTATCAATGAATTCATGCTTTTACCATTTCTTCTGATTTGTCAGCTTTATCTTTAATTTCACGCATTTGTTGAAATAATAATAAGATGGAATTTTGTGCTTCTTCTAATGCTTTGTGTTCATCAATTTCTGTATCCGAATGACCACGTATAGTAAAACGAATATCAGTATCCAATGCACGTATCTTTGACTTTACACTTCCAATAACTTCATCAATATTTGCTAGAGATTGTTCCGTTGGAAATAATTGATTTATATAATCAACTGGATTAAAATCGACTCGATCGATCTCATCGGTACTTGGTAATATCTACACACAAAAAAAACAAACAAAATAAATTATCGAACTTATAAAATTTATTTAGCTAATTAAATTCCTTTAAAATAGTGATAATCTCTAATTGAAAGTACCAAAAAAATATTAAATTTTATTACGAATAAAACTAATACGGTAATAGTTGTTCAAACAAATTTACAATGGAAGTATTTTAAACAGTTGTTACGTTACTGGATAGAGAGTGAACAGAGACATGCAGTATTAGGATAAATACTAAACAATGAATTATCGATATAAACTCTATCAAAATGCGATTCTTTTTGTAACGGTGTCTTCCTATGCTTCAGTGAATATTGGTGTCAATATTCACTGACTACATTTAGTTCATAGATCGACGAGAAATCAAATTTATCCTATTCTACTTTTATTCTTACACATCTTTTAAAGCTGTAAGAATATTTTGGTTGTTTTAGTTTCTTTAGTCCCCTCGGTCTATTGAAATATGCATTAGGGTGAAGAAACTACGCCCATACATACGCACCTAACAGGGCTAAAGAATGAAAAATATGAAATTCATAGTAGCTTGAAAAACATAAAAGTAAAACGGGATAAATTTAATTTGTCGTAGACCTTTCATATTGAAAAAAACATAGAGTAAATATTGTTCGAGTTTCAAAAAAGTTGCTTTTTACGTTTTCGATTAGTGTATTCAACCTCTTTCTTGGTAGTTCTGCTTTTGAAATCAAATAACTCTCCATAGATTTTTCTTCACGCAATAAAAGGAATATAAAGCTTAAAAACAAATGATCTCACTTGATCAATCACTTTTTGTACATCAGCTGGTAGTACAAGTGTATCATATCGATCATCATCAGCATCAAAAGTATCATCATCTACATCTGCTCCATTAGTGGTAGCCATCTAAAAATCACAATAATTGTAATCTTGTCTTTATTTTCTATATTAATATGTAAAAAGGAAAATAGCTTTACTCTGAAAAAAAAATACTGGCATTTTTTTTTTAAATTTACAGATGGAAAAAAAATAAAATTCAAATAGCTATATTTACATGAGAAATACTAAAAAAAAGAGATTAATATATATGTCACTTGGGTTTTTTTGAATAATAACACAAAATAAGAAAACACACACACACAAAAAAGAATTTTACAAATGAGTTTTTAAATGTTCCTTGCTTTTTTATGTTTATGATCGAAAGATTTTTGCCATCCAATTCTTCATTAATGATAAAGGTTTACTTGTAAATACATATTGTGAATGGCAAACATGTTCTTTATTTGTTGCATGTTTTTTTGTTGGTGATGCTTGATGACGCATCTGTTCACGATCATGGCTACGTTGGAATGTCCAACGCCATGGATGTCGATTGGCTTCGTGTTCTTCTTCTTGTTCAGTATTATCCATTCGAGCTTGTTCACGATATTGTGCACGTGATCGAACCCATGTAGCATATGTTGATTGTGCTTTACGAAATGATGAAGAAAGATGTTCAACGCCACGACGTAATGCCATTTGAATTTGTTCAGCTGTTTCTGAACCAGAAATATCCGATAGTTTTTGTTTACTTTGTTCCATATATTCATGTCCATGATTAACAAAATCAGTGAGGGATGCACTTAAATGTTCGAAAAAATCAGACACATTGATTGAAGTATTTTCTGCTATTGCAGCAGTTTGTTTGATTAAATTACTAAGTAGCACATCCAAAGATGATGCAGATGATTTCGTGCACTGGATTTGCAACAACAAAATAAAAAGCTTTTAGTGTTGATACAAGTTTGTATTTAATATTTTACTTACATCAACTCCTTCAGGACATGTTTCTTCTTCTTCTTCTCTTGAACTTTGTTCTTCGACTAATTGTACACGATGTTCTAATTCTGTAACTTGTTTTTGTAATTGTTCATTTTCATCTGATAGCTATAAATAAAATTCTAATAAAGCATCAAAATCGAATCAAGTTCTTTTCATTACTTGATGAATCATATTTGTTAAATTTTCTTGTGTAAAATTTATTATTTGATAAAGTTCATTGATTTTTATAATCAATAAATTTTTTTCATTATTATATTCAATCATTTTTTGATTAATCAACATTTGAAATTTTTCTTCAAACTAAAAGATAAATACAAAAAATAATAATCATTTTCTTAGTATACTTTTCTTTTTATGACCTTGTTTGTTAATTTTTGTTCAATATCATCATTTGAAACAAATTTTATTTTATCCAAACGTTTATTTGTATCACGTAATTCTTTAGTAATTTTATTTATTACTGATCGTTCTATATTAAACAAAAAACTCAACTTTATTAAACTTGATAAAATCTTTAAATCATACGTGATAAAATAACTCGACCAAGAATTATTTGTAAAATAAAAATAAAAATCAAGAATCCATAAACACCAAATGAATTATTTCGTCTTAGACGATAATTATTTTTCGTAACAGGTACAAGTTCATTTCCAACTGTTAATAAAGGTTGTTCAACTATTTCAATGAAAAATACCATTTGAGTTATTTTTTTGTTTGAATTCAAAAAAAACTACAAACCTGCATGTTGAACATAAGCACCGGTACGTTGTCTACATAAATTAAACTTCTCATAGAAATTCATATTAAAATAAACTTACCGAAAATTATTTGATGAAAGATTTGATTCATTACTTAAATGTAAACAAAAATAGAATGACAAAAAAAAATCTAATTTTTTGAATACTTTATATCACATCCAACATTAAATAAATCATATTCATTAAATATTGGACTCGTTTCATTTTCATTATCATGTTTAATCATGATTTCAGATGATAAAATTTCTTCTTTAATTTCACTGGTTAATAATAAATCATTATTATTATTATTATCATTACTTGAATTAGTTAACACCGGATCTTCAATTGTCAAATGATTTTCCTGTTGATCAATATGATCATCAGTTTGTATAGGTTCATCTCTATATAAAACATAAGTAGGTTAAAATAAGATTTTTTATTTTTTAGATTTAAATATTCACTCAATCGATGAAAGCGATGATAAAGAATCACTTCGATTCGATTTTGATGAACTACTACTACTATTACTTGATGAGGAACTTAAATTTAATTGTTCATGATCAACAAGATTGACAGCTCCATGAAGAATCTTCAATATGAAAAGCGAATAAAATACAAAATTTATAGAAACTTTAATATTTTTTACAGTATTTTCTGGTGATGTTTGTCTTAAAAAGACCCAATCATCTTCTTCACGATTAAATTCATCTTCATTTGATGCATACATATTGAAAACTTGTCTTTATGAAAAATATTATCAATTGATTTAGATCTTTCTTGCTATATATATATACATATATAGGGAGAGAGAAAAGCTCGTGCTTCCAGAAAATATTTCATGGAATCAAGTGACTAAAGAGGGTAGCATGCTACATCTGATTGGATAATATCTAATTGCATCATTTTGTTATTGTGCTCAAATGAATATGCGTTTTGACATTCGAAATAGACGCTTTAAACGTGGCAAGGTGTTTCACAAAGATGATGTGTCTTTTTTGTTGGCATTTATGCATTGGACGTTTGCAATGCATAACAAATTTCCAACTGAATCATCTTTTGTTTTATTAATAAGAAGAAAAAATCAGCTGAGAAAACACTGATTCTACAATATTTTTTAATTTCATTATTTAGATATATAATGAAACAATAAATCATAGTAAAATAATAATTAATAAAAACAAACTATTGCTAATTATTATTTAATATTATGATGAAAATTATTTTTGATGAAACAAGAACAATATAGACTATTTGAATAACAAACAATTTTGAAAATAATGATCAAATATTTTTACTATTGTCATTCCAAAGTTACATATGCTACAGTACTCTAAGACTATACTGTTAATTAATTACTAATAAAAACTGAATCAATAGTTTATTGAATTTAATATAAAATATCATTGTTTTTATTAACTGGTTAATTTGAAATAGTTGTGAATTTAGGAAATTGTATTGAATAGTTTTGTTGTCAACGTATTCATATACGTATTATAATAATTAAAGCAAACAAACATCATATGAACAGTTTATGTAAAAGATTATTTAGTAAAGAATGAAGAAGGTTTTCTAATAGAAGTGAGTTTTGAAATTATTATTGTTGGTTTTTTTTTCTATCAATCTTATTATTCATAGCATTGCATTTTCGGTTATCTTAATAATGGAATTGTATAGATGTTGTTGGTACACTATGAATTTACTGAGACAAAAAAAAATGAATTTAAAACAAATATGTGATAGAATTCTTTTACAAAACATGCTATATTCAATATTGATAGTGTTTTCATCATTTTCTTTTGTATCTTCTCAATAATCAATATTAACATATATATGGAAGACTAGTAATCGATTTTCAACGTTTATATTATTAATACAGGTATACAATTTGCTTTGAAATCTATCATTATTATCTTTTTTAGAAGCACATATTTTAATTTTTCACTTTTATTCAGATAGAAAAGAATTTTCTTTTCTATTTAACGGAAATCAAACAATATTCATTTATTCTCATTGTATAGAGATGTTAAACATAAGTGTCTATTTATAGTAAGAGCTAGTACACATCAAAGCACTAATGAGGTAATTTTATAAGATTGTAAAAAGCTTTTGACCTCACTTTTGCGTATTAAGTAGAGAATCATTAGATTATGAAAGTCCTAAGATTATATGAGCACAGGTTGCTAATTACCCAAAGCATCGAAATTTCTCTTTAGGACCCAATTTTTCGGTAAAATCATAGTTTCGACTTTCGATCAAAAACTTTACACAAATATAAGCCTTAGTTTGACTAACTGAAAGAAAACATTTCATAAATTTTGAATATCATATTTCTAATATATCAACTTTTCAGATTTTTAGCACTTTTCCATAAAAAAAAACACATGGATTTTCGAAAGCTAAATATTTTCTAGTTGTGATAGACAAAATTTGTGAGACTTTTTTTATAAGTTAATCTAACTAAGACTGCCGTTTGCGTAAAGTTTTTGACCGAAAGTCAAGAAGGTGATACTACTGAAAAATCAAAGTCCTGCAGAAAAAATTTGATCTAAGCTAACGAGCGACGTCTTAGAGCTTTCAAAGTCTAAAGATTCCTTGATTAATTCACAAAAAACTAGGTTAGAAAGCTTTATAGCATCTGAGAAGGTTTCCTTCTTAGTTTCTCTCAATCAGTCAAGTCCCTAGAGGAATATAAGTGTCATATTTTACAATATGCTATTGTCGAGATCATGATGAACACATTTTTTTCTTTGTTTAGAAATCTTATTCGTTTCAAGATTATTGATTATCGAAAACAATACCTTATATGAATACATTTGATGAATCATCATTACATATTTATTTACTTATTTGTTTATGAAATCCTTTCATCATGTTTAGATTATCTTTAAAAGAAAACAATATATATTTTAGTATTAAATAAAAAAAAAACAATTAAGTTATAAACTTTTTAGATTTTAAGAAATCTTGTTTACGGATGGCACGTTTAGCCGGTAAAGTGGCATGTGTAACAGCATCGACTGATGGGTAAGATAATTAAAATCGAAAATGAAAAGAAAAATTACAATGTTCATTTGTTTAATTAATATAAAGAATTGGTTTTGCTATTGCTCATCGATTAGCTCGTGAAGGTGCTCGTGTTGTTATTTCGAGTCGTAAACAAGATAATGTTCAAAAAGCAGTGAATGCATTAAAAAAAGAAAAATTGGATATCTATGGAACTGTTTGTCATGTAAGCAAAAGTGATGATCGAAAACGTTTATTAGATGAAACAATAAAAACATATGGTAAATTAGATATATTAGTATCCAATGCTGCAATAAGTCCATCAGTTGGAAATATTTTAGAAGTAAACAGAAAAAAAAAATCGATTTACATTTAATTTTAATATTGTATTTTATTTAGACAACAGAATCACAATGGGATAAAATATTTGATGTTAATGTTAAATCTGCTTTTTTTCTAATTAAAGAAGCTATTCCATATCTCGAAGCACAAAAAAATAGTTCAATTATTATTGTATCTAGTATAACTGGCTATACTCCAATAGATCTTATTGGTGCTTATTCAATATCAAAAACAACTTTACTTGGTTTAACAAAAGCACTTGTTAATCCATGTATTGAAAAAGGTATTCGAATCAATGCTATAGCTCCAGGAATTATCAAAACAAAATTTAGTCGAACATTATGGAATAGTGATGATAATATCAAAGAATCTGAAGACGTGCCATTTAATGGATGTGCAATGGGTCGAATTGGTACACCTGATGAATGTGCTAGTGCAGTAGCATTTCTTGCTAGTGATGATGCATCGTATATTACTGGTGAAACAATTGTTATTGCTGGTGGTATGACAAGTCATCTTTAATTTGATAGAATTTAAAGACTTCAAAAACTTCGGTTTCTCTTGTTCGAAAACATTGCTTGATTGATTTTTTTTAAAATTTGATTCAAGATAAATTTGTTAGTATGTCAAAATATAAGAGTGAGATACACTTTAAATGAATGTGAGAAAATTTGTGTATGAAAAATTTTCATTCAAAATATCTTTGTTTGATCAAAATTATTTTGATCGAAGCAATTGTTGATTATATGGACACACGAACAAATTGTTTTATATTTTATATGCTCAACTATTATTACTTCAACATTATATTTGATAGAAATAATATTAAGTGTTACAGGAAACAACAAATATAAATTCATTTTGTATATTATTAAGACATTTGTTCGATATGTTGAATACGATCTTGTAATCAATTATTAAATATATTTTTGAGATAATATTCAAAGAAGTTTTGAATGAACAGTTTTTGACCATGCTTGTTCATAGACTAAATATAAATATTCATGTAATAGATCATTAAATAATAAACTCATTTGTTTACTAACAGCATGAAATACACAAATTGATATTTATCTTGATCAAACGACGACATCTCATTGCTACTTGGATTTTGTCTAATTAACATTAGTAAAAGCACCGTTTAAATGTATGAAATAAAATCGACAATATAAAAAACAAAGTCTTTCGTATACAGAAAATAAAGATATATATATATATATAATAGTAGTCTTAGCTACTTGATAAATATACATGTCTTCAGTTCAAGTTATTATATAATCTATTTCATAAATATGAAGAATGTATTGCTAATCTATTTGACTAGATGTCAAGTTGATCTTCCTTTTTCTTTATATGAAGTTTTTACAATATTTATATTCCTTAGACTAAAAGGATATATTTTAGAAACAGATATTCACCAGTGTTTGTACATTTGTAATTTGATTACCATATGTAACTATGGCACAAATAATCATAAATATGGTACATATGACCATAGCTAGCAATTGTGGCGTGACTGTGTCGGATGACATTGGGTGTCTCCGCCTTATGATTCATATTGATCGAGATCTGTGTATACGGTGAAACGACGGAGCATATTTGGTGTTTCACTATACATGATCATACTTCTCTCTATTAAATACAAAGAAATACTACGCCATGTAACACGTTAATATACGACGATTTACAGTGGTTTACGAGCATGTTCATTCGATCTGAGATGCTTCTAGAAGTAATAATAATTATTATTCAACCATTGAATCGTTCAATCTATTATTCAATGATATATGCATAAAGAAGTGAGGTCATAATTGTTAACAAGTTTAGATAGTAAGTCTGAACGTAAGATTAATGATAAACTTAAATTTCATTTCTTGAATAATACAATAGTTACTTTTTACGTTATGGAAATAGCTCTAATATAACTAATTGTAAACAATTGTATTCATTTCTATTTTATCTTTATCAATCAAGAGATATACGTAACATTAGTTTCATTCAAACTATGAAGAGAACACAGAATAATGTGAATAATGAAAAGTGAGAACATTTTCAGTTCCAAGATTTTTTATTTGACATATTGAAACTTCGACCATAAAATCCCTTAAGCCAATTTATTACTGTTTGTGACGACATATCCTAGATAGAATTTCAGTAATTCGATATGTATCAATATATGACAAAAAGAGCTATTTATCTACTATACTCAATTATCATTTGAAATCGAAAATAGTATTGAGAACAGTATAAAAGTACTAATGTGAATATTGTTACAACAGTGCAACCATCGCAAAACTTTGACAACACTGCAGAAAAACCGATAACATTACGCATATAAACTAGTGGAGTAATCATGAAAAAAGTTGGAAGAGGGCCCCAACC